AAAACAGTTGTTCAGTTATCTTAATAAAAATATAATTAAAAGGAGCCCAGTCACTCTCTTCATTTTCAGATACTGCAGTGATCTAGACTTGCCAAACATTATAGACTTGCATGGGCTGTATTTGATATATATTTGTATCAGGGTGTGTAAGACAGACTACCCTAGAACCTCTCCATACTCAAGCTTCAGCACCTACCCCTGGACATACCGTATTCCACGTAATAAGCGCCCAGGGCGCTCTCAAAATTAGGAATAGGAGGCTCTTATTAAAATATTATTTTGGTGGAAAAAACAGAGTTGAAAGATAAATTTCGTAGTTAATGCTGACAGCCTGAAATGTTTATATACGACATATATATTTTTCCAGAATTTATTTGCCTTTAATTCAGGATGCATATAACACAAGTGCGTATTATACGCGAATAAATATTTTTTTTGTAAATTGATCAATCGGAAGGGGTGCTGATTATATTAAGAAATATCGCCATGGGCGCTTATTAGAGCAGGGCGCTTATTACGTCGAATACGGTACTCTCACATCAATGACCTTTACATAGTTTGCAAGAAAACAATAACGGGTAGAGATTGTCAAATTGGGACAAAACCCAACATCCATGCTGTTTTCCATCACCTGTGAATACGACTGATACAGTTTGTTTACATCTAGAATGGTTTCAGAAAATCCTGACACCATGGTAACCACCGCCATCATCATGATCCTAGATGACATCTCAATAACAGCACCCCCTTTGGCTCCAGGAGCCTGAGGTGCCAATTACACATCAGCATAGGACAATCACCATACATCAATAATTCCATCAATAGCTAACCCTGGGTGATAACCTATTATTAGTGGTCATGACCAATTATAAGTGTAACCAGCACGATTATATCAACAATGGATTGTAGAGGAGTGGCAAGATGTGACATATGAAATATGATAAATGAAAATGTATGATACATATGGATGATGTATGAGATGATGTATGAGATGATATATGATGAATGTAGTGAGTGAGTGAGTGAGTATGGTTTTACGCCGCTTTTAGCAATATTCCAGCAATATCACGGCGGGGGACACCAGAAATGGGCTTCACACATTGTACCCATGTCAGGAATCGAACCCGGGTCTTCGGCGTGACGAGCGAACGCTTTAACCACTAGGCTATCCGACCGCCCCTATATGATGAATGTAAGTCTAATGTGTATATAATGTACATGAAATATGATAAATGAAACTATGTATGATGTATGAAATGTATGAATGAAGAAAAAACACTAAATATCATTTGCTAGTGTTTGTCATTTGTCACTGTAGGCAATAGTACGCTAAAATGGGCCAGTTCAACTCTGCAGAGAGGTAGCAGGGTATCACATGTAAAACCACTGAAGCATATAAATGTTTGTTTTAGACTGTAGGCATTAGTGGACTCCTCCTTTCAGAGTGAACGTACAATCTAACATCAGGGATGTGTCTAGACCCGCTCGGAGGCCGAGTTTGGCCCAAATTTCTGCAGCAAATGTCATAAAATATTTCCAAAATGGAACTTTAGGCTTCCCAATTTATGTTAATAGATATTACAAATAGATAATTTTATCTAAATATCTTTGAATAAATAACCTGTATTCTCCTGATAACAGGACAAATAGATTGGAAGAGGTAATGCTTGACAGTTATATATTATTGCATTGAATGCAATGCCAAAATACAATGTCTACCTCTGACTTTAAGAAAATAAAAACTTTAAAAAATCAAAATTTTGAACCAAATTGTAAATTTTACAATAAATTGTATATTCATGAAACTTATCCTATCTCACACAATGCATTTCTTCCTACTTTCGATCCTTTGCGGAAACATGCTTGAACAAAGTTTCCAGCTTCAAAAAACAATTCACCTGAACAAATACCAGCATCACCATGGTTACCACCCAAACAAATGGGAAACGCACTATAATCACATGTATAGCGACCTTCACGATACTATCACATGATTGCCACATTATTCTCTTTTGCCGAGCAGGGGGCACGGGTGGCCCAGTCGTCTAAGGTGCCCCGATTTGCTGTGCAGAGTTGCGTCCCTTAGGTACGCCAGAAACCTATGATTGTGGGTTCGAATCCCGGTTCGCCCCGATTATGTTTCTAGGTTTGTCAGCACCATACCCGTGCTCGTGGGTTTCACTGAAGTGGTAAATGTCTGAGACCTGCATCACTTCGGGCTTTCCTCCCACATTAAGCTGACACGCCGTGATATGACTGGGATACTGTTAAAAGCGGCGTTAAACCCAACTCACTCACTTTTGCCGAGCTGACAGGCTAGAGGAGCTGTGATGCAGGGATGGTTAGGAGGGCTTATAGCGTGTGTGATAGGATAAGTATTGTGTTGGATGGTGCGCTGCGGATACCCTTGCCTGTAGAAACTACAACCATGAGACATACACGAGGAAGCTGGTGCCAAACAGTGCAATAAAAAATCTATAACACTGTCTGAACAAGAAACTTGTGCACGGGAAAAATAACAGGTGATGTGATGCCTATATGTATGTCGGACCCAACAGCATGAGTTAGTGAGTGAGTTTGATTTTACGCCGCTTTTTGCAATATTCAAGCAATATCACGGCGGGGGACACCAGAAATCGGCTTCACACATTGTACCCATGTCGGGAATCGAACCCGGGTCTTCGGCGTAACGAGTGAACGCTTTAACCACTAGGCTACCCGACCGCCCCCCCCCCCCCAACAGCATGAATTTAGGTAGATCATGCGTTATGTGTTTTCATGTATGACATCGTCACATGAATAACCACGTAGTTGTAAAGAATATACGATACGATACAGCGTACGACTTATAATCAACCTGGAAGGGGTCTTCAGCCAATCAATTCTACGAGACAGGGCAGAGCACCATCTCGCCATCTCTGTGTGCCTGCTTGGGTGTGCCTGCTTGGGTGTGCCTGCTTGGGTGTGCCTGCTTGGGTGTGCTTGCTTGGGTGGGCCTGCTTGGGTGGGCCTGCTTGGGTGTGCCAGCTTAGCATATCTTTTTACACTTCATCAAAGCTATCAATACCGCTTGGGGAAATAAAGCAGGCTAAGACAAGGAACGATAGACAATATCCACAAGATGATCTTCGAATCAAAACCAGGCCCCAAAGGATAGGTGAGCGGGTTGAGGATTCGGGACACCGTCAAAATGGCCGCGCCTTGGGGCAATTTCGATGTTGAAGACCGAAGTCTGTACAGATGAGATAGTCTACCCTCCAAAAATGGATACTCAGCCTGTGAACCCGACTAATAAAATCTAATAAAGTTCCATTATTTTTTGCATGTACATGATATGTAGTACAAAAACTGCTTTGCCAGGACCAAGGGGCCGAATTGATGAAGACCCGTAAGTATGAGATTTCAGGCTGGTAATGGGAAGCGAAGACCTTATCAGATTTTCTAGAAGCAGCTTTCTGTAATGGCGGAGAGGGAGCAGTTGCTATCTAGGGCTATGGTAGAAGCGACTGCTCTGGTCTCTACAGGATTGGACATAAAAAGATGTCCTCACAGTCAGTATTGCTCAGGATGGATGCCAGCGATGGAAAGCTAAACAAACAATCTGGTTAGCCCAGATTTTTTTACAAGTGTGATAGCTGTTGGATATGACAAGTCTGAAATGAGCTGTTGGATATGACAAGTCTGAAATGAGCTGCTGGATATGACAAGTCTGAAATGAGCTGCTGGATATGACAAGTTTGAAATGAGCTGTTGGATATGACAAGTTTGAAATGAGCTGCTGGATATGACAAGTCTGAAATGAGCTGTTGGATATGACAAGTCTGAAATGAGCTGCTGGATATGACAAGTTTGAAATGAGCTGTTGGATATGACAAGTTTGAAATGAGCTGCTGGATATGACAAGTCTGAAATGAGCTGCTGGATATGACAAATTGCGTCTATTTCTGTTTTGGATGTTTACCAATTTGGTGAAACCCACCCGCACGGTACCTACAAACATAATGATAGAGAATCAGGAATTCGAACCCACACTCATAGGTTTCCTGCAAGCCTATGGGAGATAACTCTGCACAGCGACCTGCAGCACAACAGTTTTACCTTGCCCTACAAAACTGTGGGTCCCAAAAACTAATTTTAAGGGACCATACAGGAAATAGGAGGGTCCTTTCCCAGGTTAATTTAAAAAATTTTTTTTTGGTTACACAACTGTTTATTTGGTTACATACTAGTTTGAACAAAAAAAACAAAAAACGATACCCCCCCGCCTGCACTATATTTTCAAAAAAAATTGCCTGAGAACCATTATTTATATTTTTTTAAGCTTAATGAATATTACCGTAATCGATGTAATAAGCGACCAGGGAATTAGAAATAGGGGGGGCTCTTATTAAAATATTATTTTGGTGAAAAAAAACAGAGTTGAAAGATAAATTCGTGGTTTATGCTGACAGCCTGAAATGTTTATGTACGAGAGAGAGATATTTTTCCAGATAATATATAATTTAATTGCCCATAATTAAGGGTGCATATAACACACAAGTGCGTATTATACGCGAATAAATAAGTCTTGTGTACTTTGATCAATCAGAAGGGGTGCTAATTGTTCACTAGCCAATATATTAGCAAATATCGCTGTGGGCGCTTATTACGTTGAATACGGTATTGTGCGTCTCTTTGTGTGTACTGGACACCCATTTCTGCATCAAGCAAAACCCTGAGCAACTAAGAAGATGGGGAACCCTGCCCCTTGCTGAAATGCAGACCATGCCCTGGGCTGATGCATCATACAGTTTATAACACCGGACATTTTCTTATTGTAAGTGAATCAATGCTGTTTATCACCACAGTCAGTTATACTGTAGCTTTGTCAAAGCCATCTCAGTAATCCAATCTGGCCACGCAAACCAGTGATCAATATCATGAACAACAGTCCACGTCCAGCATGGGGAACAGGAAATACAAAGGGGGGATTTAGGCTGAACATTCACGGTAGAACTTACCTTTAGCAGATTTCACCTGGTTTGCATATCGGGAATTGCTGCAAAAGAAATGAAGATTACAGTTATCTTAAAAAGACAATATTTTCATTTAGGTAGTCACCAGCTGTTGTTTCAAATGGCAGTTTGTTAACATGGAAGTCGAAGAAGCTGGGTAAAAACATATTTTTCAACAATGTTTCTCATATTGAAAAGTAGGGATGACATTACAAAATCACAAGACAGAGCCACCGACATCCCCGGCCATGCTGGCATGCTCAGAGTTGAAAATAAATAATTCTAGATATGTGACAGCAAGGCACCAGTGCTAACTAGCATACCGTATTCAACGTAATAAGCGCCCAGGGCACTCTAAAAATTAGAAATAGGGGGCTCTTATTAGAATATTATTTTGGTGAAAAAAAAGAGAGTTGAAAGAGAAATTTCGTGCTTTATGCTGACAGCCTCAAATGTATATATATGACAGATATATTCTTCCAGAATTTAATTGCCCATAATTAAGGGTGCATGTTGGTTTGTTGTTTAACGCTGCACTCAGCAGTATTCCAGCTATATGACGGCGGTCTGTAAAATAATCAAGTCTGGACCAGACAATCCAGTGATTAATATCATGAGCATCGATCCACGCTATTGGGATCGATGATATGTATCAACCAAGTCAGTGAGCCTGACCACCCGATCCCGTTAGTCACCTTTTACGACAAGCATAGTCGCCTTTTACGGCAAGTATGGGTTGCTGAAGACCTATTCTACCCAGGAATCTTCACGGGTCAAGGGTGCATGTAACACAAGAATGCGTATTATATGCTAATAAATAAGTCTTGTGTACATTGATCAATCGGAAGGGGTGCCACGTGGGATTGTTCACTAGCCAATATTAGCAGTATTAGCAAATATCGCCGTGGGTGCTTATAATGTCGAATACGGTAATAAATATGCAAGGTTTCATGGCAACACAATGAAAGGTTTCCGTGAGTATGTGTCCCAACTGCGGGTAAGGTGCACCATGTTAAAAAAAATAAGGCAAGGGCCATAACTCTGTTAAAATTGAATTCCCAATGTACATATTTATCCCTTCCTGATCTATGTAAGAGGTTTCCGAGGAAGAAATCGGGCGTTCTTTAACTTCCTGTGAGCAGCATATAGCAAACAGTGTTTCTGACTTTTGTCTCCTGTTTTGTTTTGCCCTTACGCCTTTTTCAGCTACAATAATTATGCCATGTCAGCAATATTCCAGCTTTATCACAGCAGCCTGTTAATAACCAAGTCTGGCAAGACAATGCAGTGGTTGATATCCTACGTAACATCCTGTGCCATCAGTACGATATCACGCAAACAATCAAGTCACTGAGCATGACCACCCGATCCATTTTGTCACCAGCACAGGTTGCTGGGGACCTTGTTTGTTTGTTTGTTTGTTTAATGCTGCACTCAGAAATCTTCCAGCTATATGACGGCGGTTTGTAAATAGTCAAGTCTGGACCAGACAATCCAGTGACTGATATCATGAGCATCGATCTACGCAATTGGGATACAATGACATACATGAACCAAGTCAACAAGCCGATTCCTTTAGTCACTTTTTACATCAGACTCGGTGACCTGGCATCATAATATCCATTGATTGTCTCGTTCATGCTCAGTTGTTTACAGGTCACTGTCATAAAGCTGGTATATTGAGTGAGCGAGTGAGTTGGGTTTAATGCCACTTTTAACATTATTCCAGTTATATAGCGGCGTGTCAGCTTAATGTGGGAGGAAAGCCTGAAGTGATGCAGGTCTTAGACGTTTACCACTTCGGTGAAACCCACGAGCACGGGTATGGTGCTGACAAACCTAGAAACATAATCGGGGTGAACCAGGATTCAAACCCACAATCATAGGTTTCTGGCGTGTCCAGGGGACGCAACTCTGCACAGCAAATCGCGGCGCATTAGACAACTGGGCCACCCATGCCCCCGCTGGTATATTGTGTGCAGCATTACACAAACAAACAAACAAACTAAAACATAAAATACAAGTTACCACATACTCCTCCAGTACAGCGGGAATGAGTTCTAGAAGACCTGACCACCCAATCCCATAAGTATCTCTTACAACAATCATAGAGGCTTGCTGAAGACCTATTCTACCCTGGAGTCCAAGAGGGCTATATTGAAGGTAGCAATCTCTCGACGGATCCCTCTACCCCGGATCTTCACGGGTTGCGAGGGACCTATTCTAGCCTGAAATCCAAGAGGGCTATATTGAAGGTAGCAATCTCTCGACGGATCCCTCTACCCCGGATCTTCACGGGTTGCGAGGGACCTATTCTAGCCTGGAATCCAAGAGGGCTATATTGAAGCTAGCAATCTGTGGAGGGATCCCTCTACCCCGGATCTTCACGGGTTGCGAGGGACCTATTCTAGCCTGGAATCCAAGAGGGCTATATTGAAGCTAGCAATCTGTGGAGGGATCCCTCTACCCCGGATCTTCACGGGATCCTAGGGACCTATTCTAGCCTGGAATCCAAGAGGGCTATATTGAAGGTAGCAATCTGTGGAGGGATCTCTCCCAGCCTACCTGGACTCAAGGGTCTGCATCCTCTTCTCCCTCTGTTTCTTGTCCTCCTCACTAGACAGAATATCGTTAGATGCAATCAGGGCCTCGAACTGCTTCCTCATCATCTGCAGACATCAGTGAGTGAGTGAGTGAGTGAAGTTGCAGAGCAGTGTAAAAAACTTAATAACAGTTGTTTTAGCTCCATTCTACCATGTCACAACAAGAAAACATATGCGGACACTTGATTAGAGATGTGGCAATGGTTAGCCTATTATTTTCAGGAGGCTGAAAGTTTAAGTTCAGAGATCAGTGAAAATCAGTATGAATCTACATATATGTCTGCTTTATGTGCCCAAACCATAAGTTTCACCCCACACATTCTGTGTGCACTTTACTGACACACAATAAAATCATGTAGGCAGATATCCTGTCATGATAATTCAACCTGACATCCCTAGAGAAAATGAAACCAATTACACCAGATTTTGTACATTACACTCTGCTAATGAGTCGTCCTAAAGTTCTACATATGACAAGACAAAGCATTGTGGTGTGGTATACATCACAGTACGTGATAGAGCAGCTCCAAAAATCAAGGCATGTTGATGTTACTGAATCTTACAATACACCTGTCAAATTTTCTGCTGGAAATCATCTTCCTGAGGCAAGGGAGTTAACTGACTGTAAAGGTCCAGTTTCCCTTGCTGAACTAGGCATGAATTCTGGAGCAACAATTTGGCTGCACCAACAAGTCTATGCAGAGTCCAATCAAAATCGTGCAACGAACTAGACATCCAGTTTGTAAACAACATGGATTTCAATGTGCAGACTTCCGTCGACTGCAGGGTTTGCAAAGCATGTGTACTGTCAACTGGGCGTCAACAGATGTGTTCCAAATCCTTTTCATGTTTTTAATCAAGGTGCTCAAATGATTTCATGCACTTTGCAGAGGTAAGACCGGTTTTATTATAACATAGATCTTGAAGACAATCTGATCGTCTTGACTGGGTGCCACCATTTTGTTTGAGGCAAATGCAAGTGATATGTGAGGTGGAATCTGATTGGTGAATAGTGAGCGAGTGAATATGGTTTTACGCCGCTTTTAGCAATATTCCAGCAATATCACGGCGGGGGACACCAGAAATGGGCTTCACACATTGTACCCATGTCGGGAATCGAACCCGGGTCTTCGGCGTGACGAGCGAACGCTTTAACCACTAGGCTACCAGACTGCCCGATTGGTGAATAGAAGGGACACAACTCGTAATAGACACTGGTGGCGCTACGATTGAGCCTTGAAATTCCAGTGTAGTTCAGCCAGAGTGGAACTGGACTTTCAGAGTCAGTTAACCCTCTGGCTGCCACCTAAAAATAGCCTGTGTACTATCGCTGTGCCGAGTTTATTTGCGAGTGACGTTGTGGAAACTGCACACTTTCGTCTAAAAACGACGTAACGTAACAACGATAAAACCCACAATTTTCAAATTTCACACTAGAACAGCACAACCATTTCCCTAACTGTCTATGTAAATATTGTAAAGCATTAACGTGATTAACAGTAGTTTATAGCTCGGCAAACGTATTGAATATGCGATTTTTTACAAAATGTCCATGGCGGCTGTTTTGTTGACATTGCGCACTGGATACTTTGAGCGTCTTGTCAGGTTGTAAATCTCCACCAATATAAAAACCAAAAACATTATGCGAAAGCCCGTTTGTTTCCCGATTACCGTGTTGAAAATGAAAAATCTCCGTGGAAAATCGTCCGCGAAATCGTCGATTACGAATTTGTTCAAATATGTGTGACGCCATTTTGTCCGTAAATTAGTGAAATTGTAACGTTATCGTTTGCATATCATGTCGGAAAAAGCATATTAATGAAAAAACTATTTATGAGTAAGGAATAAAATCTTATCCCTAAAATCTGTGGTTTATTACCTACATGCTGATATAAATTGTAACGTGTAACCTTAGCTATGAAATTCAAAATTACGTACTTTTAGAAAGAAGAGAACGAAATCGCATTTCAAACTAAAACTTATACGCGGTGTTGTGTTTTCTTCATTGCAATAAATTATTTTTCTTTTCGGTCATTATTCATTTTTTAGTAAGAAAATCATACTATGTAATCTGCAAAGAACATGCCCTTATGCATGGCATATTTTTACTTTTCTTGCACCGAAAGGTATTCCTCACGGCTCATGTCAATCAGTTCACTGTAAATACTCCTACCAGGCGATGGCGGACATGTCCATTTGCACGTCGACGAAATTTGCATACAGACGATTGAACGAGTTAGTCTCGTATCTTTATGAATCCTTAATAACGTTGTTTTATTTTCATTTTTAACTAATAACGATTATACAAACACAAAACAATAAAAAAAATTCACATGAAGTAGAAACCATACGAAAATGCCTTTTGTGTTGTCGACAGCTTTAGTTTTGAATATTTCAAAATGTCGTCGACCGTGTTCAGCGGTGTTTGGGATTTTGGATTTACTATAACATCTTTGACAGCAACCGAGATAGTAAGTACATTTGAACATCATTCTGTAAGCAAAGCTTAGTGTTCTAATGATGGTCTGAAATCTGTCGTAATTTGGAGATGATAAACGCATTGATTCATCAAAGATTCAAACGTTGCGATCTGGTCATATTTTCCCGATTTCCATCTCCGTCCCTGCTTACATCAGCAGCCATTGAGTGACCATCAAGCAGTATTAAAGACATGGATCCACTGATCACAAACCCAAAGGAACTGTATTAGCTAACATTTATTACAGTCAGATGGATGTATATGTGATTTTTGTCATGAAATGTTCAAAGTATAATCAAAATTGATCTCGATAATTAATCTTTCTTTCGGGAACTTTTTGACGAATGATTTCCATGGCGATGTGGTAGACTAGCTGTTATGAATACCATTATCCGAAGTATATTTCAACGGACATTTAATACAAATCAAACCATGTATTCCTGGTAATGTTTGACGAATTTGAAAAAAAGGTAATCTATGAAGAATTTGTAAACACCAAAAGGCACAGGTTACCCGCTCGAAAAAAACGGGCATCATTTCAGATTTGCGCAAGCCGGAACAAATACGTTCACGGCTTGCTGTCTTCTCTCACGTCCGCGCTTGCTCGTGGCATTTACCGCTAAAATTTATGGATTACATTATGTCTGTTGAGCGAACTTTATCAGAATACGTTACGGCAAAGACGTGGCAGTTGTCCAATAGTCCTTGCCAAACTGACCAATAGTTAAGGTATAATACGGACAAGAAGAAATTTTCAATTTTTAAGGGTTTATCATAATAAGGACTAGAAGTAAAAAGTTTCTTTAGTTCTGTAGATGTATGTAAGTCATTGGTTATGATAACATTGGAGAATCGATTTCCATATATCAATTAATAATTAAAAAGTATGCTTACATATGCATACATGAACATTTTTGAATATTTTGTTAATATTCCAGAGGAACAACCACACTTTCATATGGCTGTAATTGGAAAGACTTTAGAAAATTATTTCTTATTCCAAGGTCCTTACTGTTATACTTACTGTCCTTAATGTACTTTATTTAATATTTTGAAAAGTATCATCAGTAACAAATCTTGTAACTGTTTAAATGAGATATATAAGACAAATGTACAAATCTCTCAATCTATACATATTTATTGACAGTATTTACATGTGAATAATATATAAACTATGTACAATAAAGTTTTAAAAAAGGGCCGCATCTTAGCTGGAATACTGCTGAAAGCGGCATGAATCATACTCACTCTATTTACATGAAGTACATAATTGTGAACAAAAGATCAATAATCCATATACAATGAATCGCCACGAATTAACTGGAATATTGTAAATGTGGCGTTGAATCATACTCACGCACCAACATGTCCTTTTATATATACACAAATCCATTTTCTATTTACAGTAAATATATATAATATATATCATTAATATAATTTAATCTATTTACAATGAATCGCTGTAATGTTGCTGCAATGTGATCAACTGTGTGATACTGACGGAAACAGCGTGCACAGAGACCAATGTGGCAGTCAGGACACCAGGTCCTGACCTTTCCTGCGGAGCCATCGAAGGTCCTCTGTCTCTTTCTGCAGAGAACACACTGTTTCCTCTTCCCTTCAGGCAGCACTTCTATGAAGTGACGTCCGGTCAGTCGTCGGGAAGGAGGCTGGGTCCTGGGCCTGCCAGTCCTCCTCTTCACCTGAGTGTTCCCGACGAGTGAGTGGAGAAGGGACATGTGGAAGTCCAGACGGGAGGTCGTTCTACCATGGGTGTTCAGGAATGTCTGATAGGCAAATGAAATGAGTATGAAACATTAAAATCAAACATTATGAAATAGCTGTTCAGAAGATAAGGTCGAACAAATCAACACCTCCATCCCCTCCTCTGAGTTGCTGTTCAAAATAGCATATAGGAGGGGCATGGTAATCTGAAACATATATCATAATTTATTACATGAATTATTATAAATCATGCTGACATATATCATTGTATTTGATACATGTACATGTAATGATAATCTTAATATCATACAACTTATATCCACATTTATACCTAAACGAGACACCAAATATGAAACAATTCCTTACTTAGTTTTGGATGACAGGCATTGTCTATGTTGATTATGAATTCATGCACTTAATGATATTTGTATTTATCAATTCTTGTTACCTGGAGGGTTGACAGGGCCGCACTCCTCGGCAAAGTCAATGCTGTTGCCGAGGTCAAAGCTGTCTGTGTCCAGCACGGGCAGCCAGGGGCCACAGACCATTGGTTTGGCCCCTGCCTCTTCTTGGTTATTTTCCTCGTGATCTGAAATTTGAAATAATGCTTCTTATTAATAATGTCCTTTTCAATCACATATAAAAGTGCTAAGGGAAAGGATTCCTTGTTAAAAGATAGATATGTGTAGTGTGTCAATGCATTCAAATAACATAGGAGCATGGAAAAAGCATGTATGAATCATTCCACTTCACAGACCATATCCTGGACAGAGTAAAACTGTATTATCAAAATTCAAATATCATGAAATTTAAAAGCTTTTCAAATAATTTTGAATAATGACATGGTGGAAAATTAAAGCATAAGAATTAAGAGGTTGCAGATAAATTAATGCAATCACAATAGTGAGGACATGGTTAGCTTTGTTTATTTGTTTGCCTCTTTAGTATTTTTTTATGTGATGCTTAACACCGAAATCAAAATGAAGGGTTGGAACTAAAATACTTTACAAGACAGGGTAAAATTCCATTGTACTGTTAAAACAATGGGAAGATTTGGAAATTTGTCTACAGATAAGTGAGCTGGTATTAATTTCCATGTCATTGTCCTGATTATATATTTGCAAAACAGTCTAATAGTTAAGGTATCATAAGGACTAGTAGACATTTGCCAATTTTATAGGGTTTTGTTATACTCATCATTATAATATATGGACTAGTGGACTAAAATGTTAGTTTCTATCGCTGAATTTGCAAGTTTTCATGGATGTTTCTTATCATAATTGGAACTAAGCAACTGCTGACTCATGTTTTCTTGGTGATCAAGGGGAGATAATGTGATTTGTTTATGTCCTATAATATCTCCCTTGGATACATACTTTTTGCAAATTGCTTCATGGAAGTTTGTCATTTCTCCAATTTATTTTATGTTTGTTATCAATCTTAAATTTAAATAAAGATATAAATATATCACATATATATATACATATAGACCTATAGACATATATTTAGTTTATTGAAGGAAATGTTTCAGACCCTGTAGATCTAGTGAATATTTTACAACACAGTATCAATATTCATGTGGCAACTTTATTTTCGTCAAGGCTAATATTTTGCTTGTAATTAATATGTATAACCTGTGACCTTTTTAGTTGGGTACAGATTAAACATGTTGAAAGACTTATTCTTCATTACTACAACATAAAGATAAGATTAGGATATATGTGCTCCACATGAATGTATTAATGAAAACTGAAGGGCTTCCTTGAGTAGTCACAGGGAAACAATTGTGTAATCATGATGCAAACATTTCCAGGGTGAGAACTAAAATCAAAAGCTTTACAATGATGCTAAATTTAAAAAAAAAAATTGGCCATAGCTTCCACGTCTCCGGGCTACCTGCCCAGTGAGGGAACATTTGTTCAGTGCGCTGACCCCCCAACCCATTGGCACAAGGACAACAGTCACTTGGTGCAATGCCACTCCCCTTTCCCCTTAGTAAGTTATAGTAAATGTTAATCTACATCATTTAGATATATTTTTAACATTTAAAATTATGAAACATATTCATTTATTTTTAAAATTTCAAAATAAGTTAGACATTTTAGATTTTTTAGGAATGACTCACTATACTCATTTAAAAATATGGCTTCATGTCCAAAGTGTGAACTAGTGTGTCCTTCAAGATAAATTTAATTTTTAACAAAGACATTTTTCCATTAATATTACTGAGCTTTACCAAAAGCATGTGTAGGCCACATGTAGACATGTTAAAACTTCACTACCATGAGCAGTGATGAGAGACTTTCTTTCAAATCAATTTCATGAAATACTAAACAAGGTAGTTTGCTGTTTCTACTATGACTATCATGGTATGGTAGATATTTTTAACATTTTAAACATCACAACTATCACGAGTAGATCTAGCCTACAATTTGGAAAATTGCTAAAAAAAAATAACAAATTCTTATTCCCGCCATTGCTTTGACACTGACAGTACACCTACTCAATTTACTGAAAATGAATTAATGTTACTTACCGCTTATCTCTTCCTGGGAGTCGGACTCGGAGTCGGAATCGAGAGAATCGACTGATATGTCCGACTCGAAGTCCGACTCCCCCAAATCATCGTCGTCGCCAATTCCCACCGCAGACATTATTCCTTCTTGGTGGACAGCTTCGATCGCAATGTTGTCGTCTGTCACATGGGGCTATTTTTATCTCTATGAATATTCATGCTCTCGGCGGGAGGCGAACGGTTTTTTTATATTTGATTTGTGTTCATCGCGCTGATTCGATATACAAAGCACGAAGATAAAGATTAAAGCATATAATGTATAAATATTTACATTGGATGTCATATTTAACACTGTTGGTGATTTCAACATCAAATTTTATTTTGTTTTACTCGGGCACCTGTAACCTCTGTGACGTTGCATGTCAAAGGTCGCGGGTCACGGTATTTCGTTCCAGACGAACAATCGGAAATTTGCCGCTCTTGCCAACCCCGTTATGGTGGATGATTGAAACCAACTGTCGATAACCGTAACAGCTTCATTTGTATTCGTGAAATAAAAAAACTTAGTCTTGCAATAGTAATAAGGTATTTAACAATAACAAACCGCATGAATACAAAATTTACATACTGAAATTAAACGAAAGATTATTAATAATTTAGTAATGAATTCTACTGCCAAAGAGCTAGCTATTTATATTTAGACATACGAACTAATAATAAATATATAGATTCATCGGGGACCGGTATTCAAGTAATTTTAACTGACATTTACACGTTCATAATTCAACATCATATAGTTCTTGTTTATATACTTATATAACCAATAAATTATAAATATATTCGACACTGCATAAGATCCTATATGCCGTTGCTACCAACCTACTTTTCAACGTCTTGTAATAAATTGGGTCGCCTCATTAAACATACGAAAACGTGACTTACATATAATCAGTCACAAAACATGAACAACACAGACCCAAGAGGGTGTGTCAAAGTTTACCATGTGCGTTTTCGTTTCTTCTGGGAGACATGCTTTCGACTTGTTTTCTCTCATGAAAAGTACCGCTAAGCGACCTTCAACTTCGGTCGCCATTTTGTTTTAAGTTGCGGTACCTTTTCTGTGTTTTTGCAGAATTTGAGGTTTAGGAAGCATGAATGGAATTTCTAAGTATACGTATGCATATGAGAAGTGGCACATTTTCACACAGACTGTTTTTAAAAGATGTCAGTAGGTATGTATAACTGTATGAATGTTTTTGAATACGCTTTGATATGAATGTGATGAACGAGGCCTTGAACAAATACTGTAAAAAAAATATATACACTCCATTCACCATCGATAAACTGGGCATTTAGTTGGTTTCATTAGCTAATTAATACATAGATGCGTAGATATTTGACCATTTTCAATCTTTTAACCAAAATATTTATGAAGGTTTCAAACATTCCTTCGCATATGGATTTTCAATCAGTCGGTGCAATTTGTTCGAAATGAAAAAATATTTCAATGGCGGCACATTTGAACGAAAGTGTAAACAAGGGGAATTTGACTAACTCCATATGCGTTATTTATTGACAGTAGAGTTGTGAAAATGACACAGATGTGATGGAAATTTACTGCTTTTTGCGATGTTGCAATTGCTATGGGCTTGGGGTAATCCAAAAATATTTTATTTCAATTCTTTTAACATGATGTTTCAGAAGGACATATATGTCCCTCTGGCACAGCAACTGCGTTTTGTGTAGGGACATATATGTCCAAATGGCATCCAGGGGGTTAACACCCTTGCCTCAGGAAGATGGCTGGAAATATACTGCCTCACTAATCTAGGAACCACAACATGTTATTTAGCAAAGTTAATGAGTGAGTTAATAGTTACAGTCTCATCAGAGATATTTCAGTCATATAGCAACAATAATGAAGTAAGATCAAAATCTAAAATTGTCAAACGCTTTGAGCTTCTGAAAAAATATTTCTTTCGTTGTAATGTGGTTATCATGGTCTAACGTAGATTTAACACCACCAGCGAACCAATCAGAATGCACTGTCATTATAGAACAATACAGCAATGTCTCCATGATCACATAGTCTGGACCAAACCAGTGACTGAAATCATGAGCAACACAATCAGCCTAATCAGAGAGCAACATCAGTCCATCTCCCTGACAAAATCTGATCAGGTCGAATCAGGGCCAGGATATCCTAATCCTAGTGCAACCAAGGGACACAACTCTGCATAGCAACCACAAGGCCAACTACCATATTTGCCATTATAAATGTTCTGCTCCAATAAGGTCCCCTGACCAACCTGGAAACTGATCTGTAAGTAATCTTCATAAGCACCCTTTACGAAAGACAAAAATTTACATGACAGTTTACATTTTCTTGTGTAAATTATAGTTGCTTCCTTTCAGAAACAGCAGTGTAGAAGTGGTATATAGTAGCCTGTTTTTGCTTCACTGACATTTGAACTAAGTTTGTTCACTACCACTCAATCTCTGAAAACATATTTTACATGCTGTATATGGTTATAATAAATTAGGGCTGGAACGGGTAACTCAGGTACTCGGGGCAAGTGGGTACTGAGTAGGACCCGGATACCCACAGGACCAACCGGTCCCATGGTTAGTCACATGTTACATATTGTTTAAAAAGTATCTAGAACTCGATGGTTACACTACAAGTCACTAATGTTTGCATTTCTCTCTGACTATGCAGCTATTCTTTCTGATCTTTATATGTCTGAATAAATATAAAACAGTCAACTCCAGTGTATGCATGACGAGTTTGTTTTATATGTGTATCTAAATAATTTTCCAAGGGCTACAATCAAACTATTCCTAATTAGACATTTTGTACCTATCTCTTGAGACCTACAGCTGGTTACCTGGGAAGGGTAGGGTAATAGGGGTGGGGTGGGGGGTGGGAGGGGGGGGACCCAGGTAGTAAACTTGGACTCATCCCACCCCTACAGTGTATGGTTTTAATAAGCTCCTCCCTTTTGTCATCTTATTATGGCAAATATGGTATGTTGGGTTTTCTCAGCCAAACAATATTTTTGGACATACAGAATATCCTGTGAACACTTTGGGGGTAAAACCTGAAGCCGAATTATTCGCTACACAGCATTTACTGGAACAAAGTACTGGGGGATGACCACCCCCCCCCTGTATTTTTACAACCAAGTTATTAAAGTGGCCATACCTCTGCCCCCTCAAGGCTGTTCTTCAGGTTGAGGATCTCTCTGTCCTTGACCTTCAGCTTGGCCTCGAGGTCAACGCGGGTCTGTTTGAGCGGCTCCGTGCTCTGCAGCGATGCCTTTAACTGCGTCTCCAGCATCTCACAGTCTCTGCAGAAACAACATCCACAATAAAATAGAGTGCTAAAAGCACTCAATATGCATGTGATTTGAAAATCTTGACCTGTAACTACATTTTCCATCTATTTCCGTCGATATTTTAGTGGTTGATGGAGTGTGTCCGACACCATTGTCTGGGATCAACAGTTCAGCAATGGAGGCCACCCAATCACTGCTTCAGTCTGTACAGGCCACCTCCATATACGGTCGCCGTAGCATGCACAGACAGGAGCTTGTAGGTGTTTGTTGTTAAGACCGCACTCACCCATATTCCAGCAATGTGATGGCGGACTAGAAACAATGAAGTCTGTACCAGACAAACCCGTGGTTAATATCACGAGCATCAATCTACCCAAATGAGACATGATGACATTTAGTAACATCCTTGTTTGTTTGTTGCTTCAGCAATATTCAGCAATATTCCAGCTGTATTACGACAGTCTGTAACTAATCAAGTCTGGACAATCCAGTGATTGATATCATGAGCATAGTTCCACGCAACTAGGATACATTGACATGCATCAACCACGTCAGCGAGTCTAACCACCCTAATCCTGTTAGTCGCCTCGTACGACAAGCATAGTCGCCTCTTATGGCAAGCATGGGTTGCTGAAGATCTGTTCTACCCCGGATCTTCATGGGTCCGGCGGTCTGTAAATAATCGGGTCTGGACCATACAATCCAGTGACTGATGTCATGAACATCAATATACACAACTGGGATAAATGACATGCATCAACCAAGTCAGCGAGCCGGACCACCCGATCCCGTTAGTTGTCTCTTACGGCAAGCACACTCCCCTCTTACAGCAAGCATGGGTTGCTGAAGACCTATTTCATCCCGGGACTTCACAGGTTGGCATGAATACGTCGTCTCTTACATCAAGCATGGGTTTCTGAAGGCCAATTCTAACCTCAGGACCCTCAGGGAAGATGCTTACAAAATATACCATGTTCCTACTCACAATTGAGATCGGTCCAGCTTCTTTGACATATCCTCTAATCTCTTGCTCTGGACATCAAATTGTGGGAAGGTTAAAGAAAAATCATTGAACATTAACCATGCACATCCTACACCAATAAATTACAAAAACAACATTGGTAGAGATTTATCGGATGTGAAATCCAGCATCCTATATGCCAAAAAACTGAAAACACAAACACAAAATACAGAGTGTATCTACAGGGACACAGTGAATTTGTGTGCATGCTCAGGAAAGAAAGAAGCTATTTCATAATTTGGTACCTCTTAAACATGTGCCTTGTGGCACACTTAAAAATATATCCCATTCTATCCCTATTATTCCCCTGATAACTGTGTGAGATCACATATGCTACAACACTCCAGTGAGTGAGTGAGTATGGTTTTACACCGCTTTTAGCAATATTCCAGCAGTATCACGGTGGGGGACACCAGAAATGGGCTTCACACATTGTACCCATGTGGGGAATCAAACTCAAGCCTTTGGCGTGTTGAGCAAACGTTTTAACCACTAGACCACCACCACCCCTACCATGCCTATAATACTCCAGCATAAGCAGGATAAGCACTGAGAAGCTCACCCAAACTTAAGACGACAAAAAGGTTGGGGTTTGATTAAAATTGCAGGGTTTTGTGTCCTATATGCAAACAATATGTCAATGGACGCATTAACTTACAATGCGAGTCATGTGGGATAAAAAAAGTGGTCCTACTGCAATACAAGCCTTTAAACAAAAGAAAGGCAAAATGGTCTTATCATGCTTGTTTGATCGTTGCTGAACGCCACATTCAGAAATATTCCATCTATATGATGGCAGCCTGTAGATAGAATCTGGACCAAACAGTCCAGTGATTGATATTGTGAGCAACAATCCATGCCATCAGGGTACGATGACATACAATCAGCCAGGTCAGTAAGTCTGACCACCCGTGTCTCTTACGACCAGCATATGTTGCTGGGAACCTATTTTAACCCAGGACCCCCACTGGATATTTGTTTGTTTAATGCTGCACTCAGCCATATTCCAGCTATATGACGGCGGTCTGTAAATAATTGTGTCTGAACCAGACAATCCAGTGATTGACATAATGAGTATCGATCCACGCAATTGGGATACGATGACATGCATCACCCAAGTCAGCGAGCCTGACCACCCGATCCCATTTGTCGCCTCTTCCGACAAGCAGAGTCACCTCTTACGGAAACAATGGATTGCCAAAGACCTATTCTACCCTGGATCTTCATGGGTCACTGGGTATTTAATCATGTACATAGACAATTCCTGTTTGTCAAAACAACCTTCAAAAGGATATCTTCACATTTGGTTCTGTACTTTCGGATCAGCAAACTGAAAACAAAACAGATCAAAGTTTAACAGAATGATCATAAAGATCGTGCCATGGCACTGTAGCTCACCTGGACATGTCCTCAAAAGTTTAAGTGAGTGAGTGAGTTGGGTTTAACGTCGCTTTTAACAGTATTCCAGTTATATCACCGTGTGTGGGAGGAAAGCCCGAAGTGATGCAGGTCTCAGACGTTAACCACTTCTGTGAAACCCACGGGTATGGTGCTGATAAACCTAGAAACATAATCGGGGCGAACCAGGATTCAAACCCACAATCATAGGCGTGCCCAAGGGACGCAACTCTGCACAGCGAATCGCGGCACCTTAGACGACTGGGCCACCCGTGCCCCGATGTCAACAGAGATTTAATATATGCATGTGTAAATAAATATTTCAGGAGATTAATATTTAAGATCTGAAATTTGCCTTCAAATATCAATAGTTAGTGAGTGAGTGATCTTGTTTCACAGCATGTCACCACCTGATCCAACATAGGTTACAGGGGACAAGTTCAATGATGCGCGCGAGCGTGTGTGTGTGTGTGCGCGTCAGGCAGGGTAACAACAAGTACTCACTCTGTGGAGATGATCTTCTGCTTCAGAGTCTGGTAGTTGATGGCATGCTCCTCCTGCAAACGTGTCACCTCCTGAATACAGAATAGTACAGTACAACCAGGGCCCGAGCCAAGGAGCAGGAGCTAACTTGCACCAGGGGCATGTTGTCATGGAAACAGAGCTACAGATAAGCAGCGTATTTGCGTAAAATACCCCCCCCCCGAATAATCAAAACCCAATTACCTTCAATTAAATGAAAAACTCAAATGTATAAAAACAGCATGTGTAAATACCAAATGAAGCTTTTTCAGCATGCGTACAAAGGAGCTAATTTCCAAAACACAATTACAAGCTAATTTACTTTCATTTTTTTTTAAATCTTAAAATGTTCACTTATTTGGGAAATACCCAATAGAGTGGTGAATAGATGAGTGAAAAAATATAGGTTACCCAATGAAAAATGTAATAACCTAATTAAAATAGAAACCCTAGAGTAAAAACGCAATTGCTCAAAAGTTATCTGGAGCTCTGATGAAAACCAAGTTGCACCAAACAAACCAGGTTGCGCCTTGGTCCCATAAATTTATCAAAGCTGAAACATTGACCAACCAATGATACATTACTGTAAAACGTAAAATATTGTGCACATATTCTTGAAGAACCCAGTTTGATGATGTCAAGCCTAACAAGGCAAGACAAATTACACATGACTCGGGGATTAGAATGCTAAATAAATGTGAGAGGTATTAACTGTGTTCAAACAATGGTGGACAAGTAAGGGTTAGTCACACACAAATTTGAAACTATTAGCAATGATTAGGTTGTATTTGTACATTTTTCATATAGCTACATTGAGCCCCAATAATGTTGTATCATCAACACACAAAAGAAACATACTGCCACAATACTGTAGTTCATATACTCATGTCGTCAACAGCTTATGATGTCAACAAAGACCGCCACTTAACAAATTGTCACTGTCAGTAACGATGTCAAATATTTGAAATGCTGCAGACTAAACACTGAAATCCTAATGATTTGAACAAAATACGATCTCATCATATTACCAGCTTCCCACACCATCATGGCTTCAAGAATGGACACATGGCAGTTTCAAGACATTTGACAGTGACAAACCTCGGGTTATTTGTAAATGCAGTAACATGAATTGTAGGGCCAGATACAGCCACTGACTTGACCCCTTGTCTTGCCTCTTTCATTGTAACCGAAATATGATGTTTCAACATAATTTACTGATTATTCATTGACTTTCTAGGGGGCACGGCTGGCGCCGTGATTCGCTGTGCAAAGTTGCGTCCCTTGGGCAAGCCAGAAACCTATGATTGTGGGTTCGAATCCCGGTTCGCCCTGATTATGTTTCTAGGTTTGTCAGCACCATACCCGTGCTCGTGGGTTTCACCGAAGTGGTAAACGTCTGAGACCTGCATCACTTCGGGCTTTCCTCCTACATTAAGATGACGCGCCGCAATATAACTGGAATATTGTTAAAAGCGGCATTAAACCCAACTCACTCACTCACACTCATTGACTTTCTATGGTCATATACTGACCGATTCCTTGCTTAACCTCTGGATTTCAGTTTGGAATTCACCTTGCAAAAAGTTTTCAAAACACACAAGAAAACCCTGGTGACATCCCCTGGGCATTTGAAAATCGATAATGAATGTGCTAAGCGAGATTAGATATTGCTTGTAAAAAACATGCAGATGATACGACAGTTGATGATTCGGAAATAGAATAAGTGACTACGGCTGAACCGATCATTAGATCAACACTGAACCTATCACCATGGAAACGGTTACACGATAGCTGTAACAATAAGCTGTGACAATGTTGACACACCTGTGAGTGGTGTGAGTATTGATTCAGCACTCATTGTATTACTATTTAACACCTCACTGATCTGTTAGTGTAGTGTAGTAATAATAGGATAATACATGTACATTGTCTGATTAAGATTGACCAGTTTATAACTCACAACATACAAATAATTAATGATGGGGGTCAATATTAGAAAACAATGACCCGACGACCCGGAGTCTGAGGTGTTCTGACCGGGTCTTCGGGTCCTTGTTTTTTAATATTTACCTTGTCAAGTGTAATCAATCGCTTTGTTAAAAAGAAATTCACTTTAAAGTTTATGAAGCCGTTAAACTGTTTTATTACTATGATTACAGTAACTTCGCTGAAATGTTAGTACCAGATGCCATCTTGTTTTCTAGCAGACAGTCAATATTCGTCATGTGACAGGTCAATACTAATCATATGATGAGTCAATATTTGAGGTCAGTGTCAGTCACATGATCAGGGGGTTTACATTGAAATGAATTGTTTTGCCATGTAAAACAGATTAAACAATGGAATTGCAAGATTCTTCATATAGGTATAATAAAGAAAATATTAGCTTAAGTCTCTTTTTGGTGAAATATGTTTGTAAAAGCTTAATTTCTTAGTGCTGATAAATAACCCCCACAGCCCCTAAAACTTTACTGGAAGAATGTACCCATCATAGTGCCATCATCAACGCAGAGCACAAGTTTAGGAGCAACACCCTCACCAACACATCCAGGAAGGGTTTTTGTTTTTGTACATTTCCTTCTAACCAGAGATATTTTAGCAACTCAATTAATGCTACAAAATAAAACGAAGTATCTTCTTCCGTATTGGTCCTGTTATCAGTCTACAAAGCCATAACATTAGGTTTACCGGTAACTATATTAATAACATGAATTGGGAATTTATACAGACACTTTCTTAAGAATATCAGCCTCTGATAAAGTCTGGACAAATACCTACAGTGTTTGTTGTTGTTGAATGCTAAACTCAGCAATTTTCCAGCTATATGATAGTGGTCTGTAAATAATGGAATTCTGGACCAGACAATCCAGTGATTGACATCATGAGCTTTAATCTACACAATTGGGATACGATGACATGCATCAACCAAGTCAGCGAGCCTGACCAGGCATATGTGCGTGGGTGTGTGTGTTGGGTGTAAACAAAGCAAACATTCTGGTATCTGAATTGATAAAACAAGTTCACAGTTGTGGAGACTCACAGTCAGACATGGTTTGCAACACTCCACAGCATCTGACAGAGATTCATCACAGTTATATTGCTTCAAAGGGGCACTGATCTCTGACAATTCTCCGGGATTGGATGTTTCCTTTGTTATTGTTTTTTTCCTGTCAATACCCGGATGATATCCCAGAAATCTTGAATAGATCACAACCTATGCTGCCCCAACCATAAGGGCGTATCGTCACAATGATCAACAGAAATGAAATACAGTTTGGTTTTGTCTTGGAACTTCTTAGCAAATACATGTATCTTTGGGGGACATCTCAGTAATGGTAACAAAGTTTTGACAAGTCACTTGCATGGTATTGTGAGATTTTCGTTTCCACTATTTTGACTTGCAACACAAACTAATGATTTCACCTGAGCATTGCTTATCATTTCATGTGTATACGCTACAGCAAATGTGTAAAATGACTGAAATTGTGACTTAGGCAATTTATAAAACACCTAAATATTTCAGTTATTTGAAAAATTGACTGAAAAATCTAATTGGTATAGAAACTGTACCCCCAGTTGGAAAAGAATCCATAAAAGAGTTTTCTTGTTAAAGGTTGCACAAATGTTTCAGAAAACAAATTGTGAGTTAAGAATTAAAAATTGCAGGGCTTTGTTTTCCTAAAAATCCAAATATTTTAAACAAACTTTGCACTGCACTATTTTTCAAGTTATAGGTTGCACGAAAAATGTCCTCGGAAGGACAGACAGAATTCCTTGGTATAACTATAATGTTAGTTGCCTGAAAAAAATTGGTTGTTGATGTTTTGAGTATATGAACAGAACTTCATTATTGCAAAATTAATACCTAAACGAAGTTGCTGTACGCTAAAGTACATAATTGTATCTACAGATTTACTTTAATGGTTTATTTTTACTGTGTACCATCCAGATTAAGTTTTGCATGGGATGTAGAAACGTGGTCCATCATGTTTCATTTTCAGGAGCATAACTTAAAACATTTCATAGAACTTCATGATCCCTGGAGGGGGCACGGGTGGCCCAGTCGTCTAAAGCGCAGCGATTCGCTGTGCAGAGTTGCGTCCCTTGGACACGCCACGGTGGGTTGGAATCCCGGTTCGCACCATACCCGTGCTCGTGGGTTTCACCAAAGTGGTAAATGTCTGAGACCTGCATCACTTTCGGCTTTCCTCCCACATTAAGCTGACACGCTGTGATATAACTGGAATAATGTTAAAAGCGGTGTTAAACCCAACTCACTCACGATTCCTGGTGCCTTTTTCTATTCTGGAATTATATTTTTTTGCATTTCTATGGCAACGAGTTTGCCAGAGCATAAGTCATAAAATGTTTCTCATTTCTTTGTATAAGGCAAGTGCTGAACTGGTGGGTGTGCTTTTGGTGTGTCAAGATTTTGAGTAAACAAGTTGAACTAAGGTTCAAATGATGGGTTCATTTTTCAGTTTAGTGACATGTTATAATGTCAGTTGTATTCACAAACCTTTTTGGTATATGGCATATACATTGTTTGATTTATCCACATAATTAAAAAATGAAGATATTGATGACTTTATCTTCTCGTTCACTTTACATCCATTAGTCAATAGTATACAATAACCAAATGCAATGGCAAAAATAAATCTAATGTTATATTTAATCCTTCATGTCCATTGACATGGCACTGTTACATGACATGACTAAATATTAAGCTATGAAACACAGAAATGGAATCCAAATCAATCTCAGTCAGCTTGTCATCCACTCAATCCGAAATGCGAAAATGCTTTCACGGAGGGGATACTTTTTAAAATTAAAACATAACCATCAGGGGTATTACCAAATAATGGCATTCAATGAGGTTCCAACGTTTTTTGTGTGAGTTTGCTAAGGTTAACGAAATTAATTAACATGCGCCCTTTGTAATATCAAAATGATAAGAGATCATTGGTCACCAATCAGTGTTCAGAAATGTGTATATTGCCGTGATTGCCTCAAAGTTTACTTCCACTGTCCTTGGTGACGGTAGCCCAGGCTCTTGTCACGCTTACTTATGTTAGCCAGCAAGTCGACTCACAGAAGTTAATGAGTGCTAGCGGGCGGTGCTAGACAGCCGGGTTGAAGCCAGAGATTAGTGCCACTTAAATATCATGTTGTTATTACATGTTGGGATCAGTGTCATCATTCAGTTACATGTTCTCTCTACTCCAATGTGTGTGAGTGTGTGTGGTGGGGGAGGGGGGCTTAGGTGGTACAGTCATCTGAGGTTCTACATAAATTTGTTGTAGAGTTGCATCCCTTACTGTAATGCCAGGATCCCATGAATGCGGGTTCATATACTAGATTCACCAGGATTAGGCTTTTGGTTTTCCGCACTATATGCATGATGTCACTCAAGTGCTTTACATTAGCCTAAGTCTAGTCTGTCTAACAGTCCCTGAACCATATAATTTCTATATTAATATCAATATTAATGCTATATACCTAAATGAAGCAAGTCTAGATTCTACCATTGCACAACCCATGCTTGCCGCCAAAGGTGACTATGCTTGTTGTAAGAGACGACTAACTGGATCGGGTGGTTAAGCTTGCTGACTTAGTTGGTGCATGTCAACGATCTCAATTGCGTGGATCGATGCTCATGATGTCAATCACTGGATTGTCTGGTCCAGACTCGATTATTTTACAGACCGCCGTCATATAGATGAGTGCGGCTGTAAACAACAAACAAAACAAAAACAAACAAAAACTATTCCCAAAATTCAATCAGTGACCAGCTGGGGACACGTGTTGTCGAAACAATTTATATAGAACTTGGGCGGTTGTGATATCATACCTTGAAGAAAACGAAAACGAAAACAAACAGACGATTATGGATTACAGAGTTGAACATAAACTGGCAATGAACAGGTGCTTGTGCAAACACTAACAACTTGATCAGAATTATCATCAGTTGTAGACATGTAACTGCAGACGATCACATCCGTCAAACATCATTTTTACGAAATGTTTACCACTATTTTGTGAAAAGTAATCGCATACCTTTTTCAGTTTTCGACAACCTTCGCACCAAACCGTCTCCTCCACATCAAAGGGTGGTAGTCCTTCCTGACGATCCATGTCAATCTCGGAAGAATATTCTCGAGCGTATTTATCTCAGTATTCATCCATTCTGTCGATAAAATTCATTCATAGTTGCTGACAGGTCGCTGAAACAACGTTTATGTTTTGGGGACTTCATTCCAATGTTTTCATTTCCCGTACGCACAACGTGGAGGAAATCAGAGGCATTATGGGATAATTTGCATTAGACAGGACAGAGTTATTTCCCTTGATCCAACTTGCTTGTGGCAGGGACGTTTGTAAGAGGTTTTTAATCCTGGAAATTACCAACAGATAGTGTGTAATTGTGAATAAAAAATGGTTAAATTAATACATGCCGGAATTATTTTGGACCGGACAATTGTCCAATAAATGAATGAATAAATAATATCATTCTAAATGATTCTATGCGTAGTCATGACTTTGTAACGATTTGTTTGTGCTGTTGTTTACGCCGTTATCAGCAATATTCCCGCCATATTACTTCGGTCTGTAAATAATCGAGCCTGGACCGGAAAATCCAGTGATTGCATCGATCTACGCAATTGGGATACGGTGTCATGCGCGTCAAGCTAAGTCAGCGAGCCTGACCATCGGAATAAGCAAACCGACAAAATAATATATTATATCTTATTTCGCACGCCACTCCTGGTATCGTTTTGACACGTCCGAGTTGAACAAGCTGTGGTAGTTCAAGACATAACGAGATAACTGTGATTTTAAATAGCATCATAATAAACATATGTCATATATTTTAAAGTGGATGGGACGGGAAAATTATTGAGCTAAATGTTGTCTCGATTGAGGTGAAGTTTGTAAGGCGCCAAGTACAAAATACAAGGGGAGATAATTACAACAATTACCGCTATGCGGCGCTGTCCACGTTGCCATGACGTCGTTGTTCATTGTCACGACGCCATATTGTGGTTAATGTCAGCTGTCATTTAACTCGTCGATATATTTTCGTTTTCTCATCACATTCAAACAGTTTTACGATCATGAGACCTTTACATCTTTCCGGTAAGACAGTGGGAACATGTTTAAAGTATTTTTTTCTCGAAAGTTATGAGGATGTATTTTTACAGCGGTAGAAACTAACAGTTTCAGTCCACTAGTTCTTATAATGATAACATATAGCAAAACCCTTAAAAATGGCAAATGTCTACTAGTCCTTATGATACCTTTACTATTGGGCAGTTTGTCCAGGACTACAGGACTAGTGCCAATTTCTAACCCTGATGTAACCATTATTAACCATTCATAAGCCTACACACAATAAATAGGCCTGGACATTTTTCGCAAATTTGCGTATAGATTGATGCAGGTTTGACACGCTGGAACCCGCTGGGGTTCTGAGATAGAATTGGTGGTTATTTCCCACCAAACTATCCTGGTAATTTAAAAGAGACAACTTTAAGCATAGGACGGTCCGGCTCGGGGCTTGGTTGGTTGATATAGCGTGTCATCGTACCGACAGCTTTGCTCAATTATCATTCACTGGATTTTTCTGGCGCAGGTTGATTATTTCCGTCATATAGCTGCTTCACCAGCGATAGAAATTGGCACTAGTCCTGTAGTCCTTGCCCAAACTGCCCAATAGTTAAGGTATCACAAGGACTAGTAGAAATTTGCCAATTTTAAGGGTTGTGCTATATGTTATCATTATAAGGACTAGTGGAACAAAATGTTAGTTTCTACCGCTTAATTTACTGATCATTACTGTGCTGTGTCAAACAACAAGCAAACAAATCACGAAAAAACACGCACGGAACCAATATGATAGCACAGTACTGACGCTGAAGGGGTCGTTGTCGGCACATGTACTACAGAAATGTACCCAGGTACAGATACAGAAACGTACCTGGTACTCATTCTAGGGTACGTTTCTGTATTTTGATTTGACCAAGGGTACATTTCTGTAGTACCCGTTCCGACAACGACCCCTTTAGCAGTACTGACTTTGCCTTACTAGCGTTGCATAGAATTGGCCTCGGTTGTTGTGACAGTTTACATGTCATTAAAACATTGGCCGAATTACTGCAGGATAGATAACTGGGTGGGATATACCATAGGTATATGTACTCAAGTAAAATTATAGAGCTAAATTGTCTCGATTGAGGTGAAGTTTGTAAGGCGCTAAGTACGAAATGCAAGGGGAGATAATCTCATCAAATATCGCTATGTGGCGCTGTCCATGTTGCCATGACGTCGTTGTTATTGTCACAACGCCATTTGTGGTTATTGACAGCTATTATCTTACTTGCCGACATAGTTTTGTCTTATCTTCACATTGTAACTGTTCTACGAATATGAGGCATTCCGGTAAGACAGTGCGGATGCGCTGGGCATGTTCAAAGTATTGAGTGTATTTATCTCGATAGTTGTGAGACTTTAACCATTCATAAAAGACAGAGCAAAATATACAGTTTCTGTTTCAATTTTATCAACATGATAAGCGACGCGAAATGAGAATGTAGAAGTCAGTTATGCCTTATTTTTATCTCTTTGGGAGTTTTCCACTGGGAACTGAATTAAAATTGAAGGAAATTTCGTGAAATAATCGAGTTTTGAACTGGTGTTCTATTCTCATGGAATATAAACAGGGGTTCTGGGCCCCGGGGTTCTTCCACTCTTCAAACCGGTACCTTGTGACACGTATCAAATAACCAGGGTCCCCAGTTAGTTCAAGAGCACACACAACATGCTTGACACCTATAACTAGCCAACTTTATAACCAAGAGCCGGGGAGCGGTTATATCTTACCCTAAACAAAGCCCTTATACATCCCGGTCATAGCACTAATTAATAACTTATTAATGTTATACAACATCTGACTCTCTTTACATCTGATAAATACATAGGTCCGTGTTATATCTTACCTTAAACAAAGCCCTTATACATCCCGGTCATAGCACTAATTAATAACTTATTAATTTTAAACAACATCTGACTCTCTATACGTCTGATAAATACATAGGTCCGTGTTATATCTCTGTCCTTGATTATTATCCAAACAAGGGTGAGGGAGACATTTTTCTGCTCGTTTTGGATTATTTATTTAAATACAACGTCAACCATTCTGGGAAAGGCCCCATAAAATATCTTGCTTCTTATCACTCATTTTTAATAATAAAATGAATAATTAGGTCGAATTTCTGTCTTTATTTCAATTTCATTACAACTCCAACTTCGATTCACAATTGTCGAACCAGAGAGCATATTCCGGTATATATTCTCTGGTTGAACTAAATGAAAATAATAATATTAAGCAGCAGAAAGTATGGTCAATAAATACTCGTACTTGGATATATATTTCAAGAACTCTCGCCCCGACCGAAATTAGCATGCCTAAATATATATTTTTTTCGTAAATATTCGGGCCTCGCATTTTTTAAGGGTCGACCGGTGATGAGAAACAATATTTCGTTTTTTTGGTCTGATACAGTTATCACGCGTACAGTTAGAAAACCTTCAGTGAAAAAAACTAAATGTTCTCTTGTGACAGTTTTGTATCATACATTTTCTTCTGGAGTCTGTAGTCAATATAATCTTTCTGCATTTCAACAGATTCTCGTCGGAGGTCCGGTGGGCGATTGTCTGGATCGATTCAGTCTGCCCAGGATATGGCCAAGGTAATCACTAAGTATATTATCACTGTTGCTAGATCATTAGATGACTGTACCTTCGGATATTCCTACCAGCATACATCTCTGACCGTCAATAACTGTAATTTTCAGACTATGATTGTTTCATGATTGTAACAAGATTAGAAGTGAAAAAAGAGACTGTATTATAAATACCCCTTGAAATATTAAATTGTTAACATCCTATATACCGTACATATAATTTAGTGGAATCTGTTTCTCGTCCTATAGATATTTTTTTCAACTTATATATGTATGCCTTATCAAAAGTTAATAAAATCATTGATAAGTCCCAATGCCATTTGTCTCGAGCAAAATCGCTGCACTTGGCTTTTGACTCGTCAGGCTTTTGTCAGACTACGTATACTGTATAGTGTATACAATAAAGGACGTGTGGTTAGCCTCGTGATTGAAGCGTTGGCTCGTCACTACCAATACATGGGTTCGATTCCCAGGTTAGATACACAATGTGACTGCGCGGAGCTGTGATATGACTAGACTTGCTAAGAGCGGCATAAAACCATACTCACTCTGAAACTGAGGGAGTTAAAATGTAACATTGAATCGGCATTGCTTCAGCCACACAGAGCGAAACTCACCTATTTGACTGTGTAACATTATTTTTAGTATAACCGTAGTTACGTAAAATGAAATAAATGACTACTGTTAAAGACCCATTCCTCTTTTATAAACAAAGTTAGACAATATCCACATGAACTGATGTATTCTGAATTTCTAATTCCTTTTCTCTCCTCCATCTGCAGTTTCCCTGTGTGAGCGAGATGCCAGAACAAACAGTCATTGTTGCTGGGGTGAGATCTTTACCCAATCCTTAAACATTTGACATTCAGACACAATTTTGAATTTTCACACCCCCCCCCTCCTCCTCAGTCAGAATAACATAAGTGAACCAACAATTTCCATAAGTTGTGGCCCTACCTTATAAAACTTCTGATCACAAATCACAATAAGACTATTACTGTTATGTATAATCAAACACTCCTTTCTCTGATGCAGTCTCCCGTGACTCTGCCCAAGGTTGTGGGCAAGAAAACCCGACGGGGCAAGAAAGGGGGACGGAGACACAGAAAACAGGTGGGTGGAACTGGCGGAATATAAGTTCCAACATATGAAGATTTTATCCAGCATGCACTTCAGCTCAGTTCTCCCCCATTGCCAAAACCTCTTATGCTTAGAAAGTTATAGAAACATATATCTGGGGCCGCTTGAACAAAGTCCCTATGCTAAGGACACTCGTAGCAACTACGAGGGTGCCCTTAAGATATTACATTGGTTTCACATGGCCCCCTCACAGTCATCGCAAGGATACGTTTTTCTACGACCGCTCAGTACACTTTGAAACACTTTTGCAATGGCGATTCATGTTTCAGGGCCCACTTGCATAAAGCAATCCCATCTTAAGTCTATGTTAGCGTATGGGAGTAACGATCTTCGTAGCGCTAAGGCCGCTTTATGCAAGTGGACCCAGGATGCTGAACTTGTTCCGGAAATCAGTCTTAAATGCTACAAACGCGGGAACTCTCACACTGGGCTTCACAATTGTTTCATCGGTAACTCGGGAGATCATAACTTTATGATCATGATTTCACATAACCCCTGTCCCCTTTAGCATGAACGAAACTGAGTTTTAGTTCACAAGATGGAACCAATGTCAATGCCAAATCATCCATAAACGCAAAATGTATTAAAGTCAATTCTTAAATGGAGCTGAAGTAGGAGTAGACCCTGTACATGTATGTCCTGGCCCAGTCACTGCTATGTGTAGCCTGTTAACGATGTTCCCTCCGCTACAGATGCAGGAGAAGCTGTTCCTGGAGACGCTGGTGCATGAACGAGTCCGGGACATCAGGCTAGGCGTGGAAGGTAACGTCTACATTGTCACATGGAGCACTTGGAGTGCTTGCTGTCTGTCCAAATTGTAGCCACTGCCTTCTCTAACACCTCCACGATCTCTTCATCTTTATTTCACTTTCTCTTTCAACCTCATTTCCGTCTCATCTTCTTATGTTGTGTTTGTTTATTTTCTTCTGTTTTGTATCACTTCCTTTACCCCTCTCCTTAGCCTTGCACGTGGCCTCTTTGAGTGACGTCAGTGAGGGGGCGGGGCCTCATCTGACCAACACGTCCGTCCACACAAGGTAATACAGACTGGCACATGGCCATGTCTCATAATGCTGTGGTTCTCTAATTCTGTTATTCTCTTGACAATGATCTTAGCCTTAGTCTCATCACTGTTTACTAAGTCACCTGGGAGGTATCCATAATGTCACAAAATATATATTTGTCATAGGATTCTGTTCACGAACCCTGAAACATCCTCGAGGGAATTTCTGGCATAGAGCCTGAGTGCATTAAATATAGATTGAACACTGCACATTGTTGTCATATAGCTGGGATATTGCTGTGTGCGACGCTATACAACAAACAAAGCACATTAATGACTTTATGGTGAACCTACTGGATTAGCCTATAGAATAATGCCCAGAAAAAAAACACATGCTAGACTTACTATTGGACTAGAGAGAGTATATGTACTATCAGTTGATCCTGTATGGGTTAAACATGCAGTTCAGCACTCTTTGAAGAGATAAAGTAAAGCTTTTAACGCACGCAACAACATTGAAGGCCTGTGTATCTGTTCCCGCTATATTTTACTTGCAGACAATTGTATACAGTGAAACCCGACAAAATCGGACCGAACAGTTCAATGAATTGTAATGAAATAATCCATATTGACAAATGCCCGGACAAAAGAACCATAATTGCAGAGTAATGTCTTTTGGATATATGTAACTATTCCAAAGAATAATTGCCAGAGAAGCAGGGTTTACAAAGTCCTGGAATGTTTTACTGACACATGTATCCATGTTTGTACGTCTCTTGTTTCAGCCAACCTGGTCACGCTGAACAAACTCCTCAATGTACATACACACCACAACAGGTTAGTCACAGTTACATCATTCCTTCAGTGGAGACCGCCTCCGTGGTCTAGTGGTAGAGCCTCCGCCCGGAGAGCGGAAGGTCCGGGGTTCGATCCCCGGCCGCGTCATACCAAAAGACGTTTAAAGATGGTACTTGACTATTTCTTCTGTGGAAATCCATATGCTTCTAGAGTCATTACCAGATCGATCCCAAATTCCGTTAGGTAGACAGACAGCAAATGTAATTTTTGATTTGATAAACGCTTTATCGACCTTAGGGACCCACCATTTAATGTTCTTAGTGGGCCTGGATATTGTTGGAAAAAGTTATATTTGCTGTCCGTCAAGTCATAGCGAACTATTGTTTTTTTCATAAGCCGCCATTGTTTTACAGGTAGCTCTGCCCTATGGATACAGCCCAACCTACAACATCAGCGAATATGGATGTCACCAAACTGGTTGCGGATATGCCAGTGACAACTTTGGATATGCTCAGAATGGATACGGATATGGAAATGACAGCTATGAATATGCTCAGATTGGATACGGATATGGCATTGATAGCTATGGATATGTTCAGATTGGATACGGATATGGCAATGACAACTATGGATATGCTCAGAATGGATACGGATATGGCTATTGATATAAAAGCCAGATTTATCAGATTTTCCATCATGGTGCTTTCAGTATGGAACGTTTTTGGACACTGCTTTGTGGAACTCGGATTTTATAAAAACGAAGTTGGATCTCAGTCAAACCTGCAATTTCTTGATAATTGTTTTGTATTTGTATATCCTCTGCCTATAACCCCAAACTATTTTGGCCATTCTTTTGATGTTATTGTTTTTTGTTTTTATAATAAATTTTATTTATATTTCCAAACATGTTCATCGTTTTCAGTGTATAAAAGAAACTGGAAAAAAAGTGGGGCCAGGGAAATATGTCATTTTAAGCCCTACACCCAAAACACACACTTGGCCGTGAAGATCCTGGGTTGAATAGGTCTTCAGCAACGAATGCTTGCCGTGATAGGCAACTATGCTTGCCGTAAGGGGCCTCTAACGCGATAGGGTTGTCAAGCTCGATGACGTGGTTGATACATGTCATACAATTATGAACGTAGATCGATGCTCGTACTATCAATCACTGGATTATATGGGCATAGCCAACCTTCTAGAAACTGTTATCTTGTGAAGCGTTTCGAACAATCAAGTCTGTACCGCGAGTCTACGACTGGGAACATCCACAACTATTGCTGCTACCTCTTAATTATTAGCTGTCAAAGTCACTACCAAAATATTTTACAAGCGCTTCAATCAATTTGCTGTCTCAAACAATAATCAGAAATAAACTTACAATTATAATGAAATTATCCAAATTGTCACACGCCCATATAGTGAGTTACCTAGTCCTTAAGACACTATCAACCAAGTCAGCGACCCTGACCACACGATTCATGTGTCAGCCTTACAATGCGACCACGACACGACAAGCCACATGCAGAGTTTGTGTTCAGACAAGACGGGGTATACACCGCATGGCTGCGTGGACGCTATGTGTCTGTGGTTTGCACGATGTCCCAGTGTATATATACAGTTTTGAATTGTCATTTTAGACCACATGGTTTGTTTCAGCGTTTCTAACCATCTTATTTGTGGTACGTCTGTACACCTTGATAGTTGATTGTTTCTCTTTGATAATACCTCGATTGTAATTCTCGGAATATATATGCCAAAATCATCAGCTTATAATACCTTTCCGTCTCAATCTATATTTAGTTTATTTCGCAATTCATTGCCCAGCATATTTACAACATTACACATCTAACTTTATATATATGCGGGCCGCCTCCGTGGTCTAGTGGTAGAGCGTCCGCCCGGAGAGCGAAAGGTCCGGAGTTCGATCCCCTGCCGCGTCATACCAAAAGACGTTAAAATATGTTATTTGTTGTTGCCCCGTCTAGGGCTCGACATTACAGGACTGGTCGGTTCGGAGTTAGTATACTGTGTCTGAGTGGGGTATTCATGTTAAACTGCGGCATGGTATCTCAGTGAGCTAGCACTATAAATCGGCATCAGTCCGGACTAGTACAAGCAGCCACACACACACATACACGTACATGCACGTCGCTATATAAGTGCAATAATTTTGGACGCGACGTTAAACCCAATTTCACCTCGCCACCATTAAACAGAAATGGTTACGATATACACGATTGTTATTTAATCACACAATTCCGGCTATGTTCCAGCCATGTTCCTGTTAAACTGCGGCATGATATCTCAGTGGGCTATCACTATAAATCGGCATCAGTCCGGACTAGTACAAGCAGACAGACACACATACACACATATATAAGTGCATGCACGTCGCTATATAAGTGCAATAACCCCATTTCACCTCACCTTAAAATCAGTTTGGGTTGTATACTCCCCAGGGAGCTGAGAATGAAGATCGAGTGCTCACTGATCCATTGATCGGGGTAATAATAGTGTAGCGCTATTAGCATCCACTTGGTGAATGGAATCTGGCCCCTTTTAAATGCACTTATTATTATTATTTATTATACGATTTACAAAAGTATAATGCTGTCAAAAGTGAAACGTGTTTATAACATGAGTTGAATAAATTTGTGAACGTATGTGTAACTTTGTAACATTATTGTAAGGCAAGATTACTATTTCCCAAAGAGGAATATTTCTCGGATACAGAAAACATTGTAGTATTCATCCACGACTAAATGGTGAGGTGAGGTGAAGTTGGGTATATTGCATTTGCATGTACAAGCACTTATGGCGGTTTTATAGTGAGAAGCCGCATGTTAACATGAATACCCACACTATACTGATTCCTTAATGCCGAGCGCAAGGCAGGGTAACAACAAGTACCATCTTTTAACGTCTTTTGGTGTGATGCGAACCAACGACCTTCCGCTACCCGGCCAGGCCCTCTTTCCACTAGACCACGGAGGCTGTCCTCTCTGCTTACTGGAGGTCGCAGTATTTACATAAGGTTTCTGAATGAGGCATATTTGTAACTGACATTCTACGAATAGATATTAGAAATTTTCACATTATCTGATTAATTTAGGTGAGGTGAGGTGAGGTGAGGTGAGGTGAAATTGGGTTTAACATCGCGGCCAAGATTATTGCACTTATATAGCGACGTGCATGTACGTGAATGTGTTTGTGTGGCTGCTTGTACTACTCCGGACTGATGTCGATTTATAGTGCTAGCTCACTGAGATAATATGTCGCCGTTTAACATGAATACCCCACTCAGACACAGTATACTGACTCCGAGCCGACCAGTCCTTGTATTAGGCCCTTAATGCCGAGCGCCAGACAGGGTAACAACAAGTACCATCTTTTAACGTCTTTTGGTATGACGCGGCCGGGGATCAAACCCCGGAACTTCCGTTCTCCGGGCGGACGCTCTACCACTAGACCACGGAGGTGGTCTGATTAATTTAAGTAGGGGATGTTTAAATTAGAAATTAAGTGCCTTAAGTTTCTTTCAAGTTCTTTCAATAATTGACCCTCTTTCCTAATACCTCAATTGTAATTAATGTTTTGGAAAAAGGAAAAAAACCCGGCACAAACAATCCTTTTCCGAACTTCGATTGAAAGTTTAGATTTAAGTACACGATGTCGAAATTGGAAAATTCTTTAAGTGCTTATTGCAAGTGTCTCGGTTTCAATTATGATTTGGCAGATGTATCCTTAGCGCCATCGTCAATGAAAAACTGTTCTTATTCAGTGAAAAAGCTACAGATAGTACAAAGAAGTAATTGGCAGGGCTGCAAATACTTTCCAGACTGCACACACTAATCTCATATAGAAACAGAGGGAGAGAGAGAGAGGGGAAATATTTCTTCAAAGAAAAGTAAACCGATCTGATGCAAACGTTTTGGGCTAAAAGACCTGCAATGGCTGCAATTAGTAGAAGGTGAAACTTTGAACAACCAGGATAACAGGTTCCAGTGCTTGTTTAACCGACTTCTTGGACTTCGGTTATCTGAAGTGAATGAATGTTATCTGCGTGAGCTCACCGTTCTGTTGAGACGCAAGTATCGGCAATATGTAAGTCGATATTCTGAGAGGGCACTTTGGCTCATACGTCTAAAGCGCTGGATTTCGCTGTGTTGGGTCGTTTCTCTTAAGTTTGCCAGCAACCTACGATCTTGAGTTCGAATCTTG